GTGTAATAGCACCAGTTCACTCTGTTAAGTTTTTAGGAAGGCACTTTAGCGTATCATTATCTGTACAGGAACACTACGCTGACACCATTAAAAAATCTTACAGGAACTCGAATCTTTTCAAATACATCACCACAATTAAAGCCGGGCTTCACCCCCAAGTCGCACTCAACTTCTACAAGTCTGTCGCTCGGAGTAAAATCGATTACTAAACGATAAATAAAAAAATTCAAAATTTCCAAAACAGTTTCCTACGGAGAAGCTTGGGCCTCACACCAGTAACTCCTATCCCCTTAATCTATGGTCTAGCGAACGAACTACCTCCAGCTGAAACGGCTAAATGGCTCACAGCAAAAGAATTAACAAACCACTTTGCTTCAGACTGTTCGTTCAGAGACCTTTTATACAACTCGCCCGGTGTTAATTCAAGCTATAGCAGTGTTTAACGAATTCAAACACATTTTCGACAATCTGCACACTGTTAGTGAATCAGTATATTCTCCGAACCTGCACATAATCACCAAATCATTAAATGACAAGAAACCCAACTTAGCTCCAGATGTTATCAAAGCCACGTTTTCTTCTATCCTAAACGACTATAGGAAGTCCAATTTCTGTATTTTTACACTGACGCCTCTGTTTGTCCTCGCGCAGCAAGCTGTGGTGTGTACAATTATACAAATAAAAATGAGTACACCTTCAAAATTAATTTTAGCTCGCCCTCAACCCATGCTGAAATAATAGCCATTTTGAAAGCTCTGCAAATCGCCAAAGAAACTAACCACAATAAGATTTTACTGATTTTTTACTGATAGCCTTACTGCTTGTAATCTCCTTGCCAAGGACAAGACGCATAGCCACCATATTCTTGAAATTCACAACTTAATCCAGGAAGCAGACTTTTACAATGTTTCCGTAATCTGGACACCCAGCCACGTCGGAACTGCTGGAAACGAAATAGCCGACTCTCTAGCCAAAACAGTCGTAAACTGTGATAACATCCTAGATGTAAAATTAACAATTGACGAAGCG